CCTCCCAGCTGGAGGAGGGCAGAGAGGAGAAAGCTTAGTCAGTCCGTTGCCGTGGTTACTGGACCCAGGGTCCTCCCTGGGGATACCCTAACTTCTGTAGGATGGAGCCAAGTAGGAGGGAGGTAGATGGCAGAGCTGAAAGGGGACCCAGGCTCATGATTCTAGAGCTTTCCATCCGTTCTGTAACAGGTCTCTGGCCCCCCAGTTCTCAAAATCCGGTTTTTCCAGACGGAAGGTGTGGGGGTACGTGTCATTAAACGTGGGAGCTCTGAAGTTCTACAACTTTTCGCTCCTCTCCCACAGAAGGTTCTGCATAAATTTATTATTACCATCAGAGGGAATGTCTTTAAAAATTTGTGTTGATTTCAGAGCGGAGGGGAGAGGATGAGAGAGATAGAAACAACAATGATGAGAGTCATAGATGGGTTGCCTCCTGCACATTTCTCCACTGGGGATGGAGCCCACAACCCGGACACGAGCCCTTGACTGGAATCGAACCTGGAACCCTTCAGTCCGCAGGCCGACGCTCTACCCACTGTTCCACACCGGCTAGGGTTCTCAGTAAGGAAGGGAACCCAAGCTGGGGTGGACTCGCTGACAGTCCAGCCTTTGCACGAGCAGCTTCATTCCTACATTTCAAGGAAGTTTCTTTTTTATTTCTTCTTTTTAAATATATTTTATTGACTTTTTTTTACAGAGAGGAAGGAAAAGTGATAGAGAGTTAGAAACATCAATGAGAGAGAAACATCTATCAGCTGCCTCCTGCACACCTCCCACTGGGGATGTGCCTGCAAACAAGGTACATGCCCTTGACCGGAATCGAACCCGGAACCCTTCAGTCCACAGGCCGCCGCTCTACCCACTGAGCCAAACCGGTCAGATCTCCAGAAAATTTCTTGCACTCCACCTGCTCTAAGATGCCACCAGAACATGCTGATAGAGAGCCACCTGATCCTGTCACTGATTAGCAACCAAGAACCATGGCTTCACACCTCTGCCTTAGCCACGGGTCAGGCTAAGCCCGAGGCCCGGTTCCTGGCTGCAAATGATGGGGGGATCTGCCGAAACCAGTTTGGCTCAGTGGATAGAGCGTCAGCCTGCAGACTGAAGGGTCCCGGGTTCGATTCCGGTCAAGGGCATGTACCTTGGTTGTGGGCATATCCCCAGTAGGGGGTGTGCAAGAGGCAGCTGATCGATGTTTCTCTCCTTGATGTTTCTAACTCTCTATCCCTCTCTCTTCCTCTCAGTAAAATAGCCGAAACCGGTTTGGCTCAGTGGTAGAGCATCAGCCTGCGGACTGAGGGGTCCCGGGTTCGATTCCGGTCAAGGGCATGTATTTTTACCTTGGTTGCAGGCACATCCCCGGTGGGGGATGTGCAGGAGGCAGCTGGTCGATGTTTCTCTCTCATCAACGTTTCTAGCTCTCTATCACTCTCTCCTACTCTCTGTAAAAAATCAATAAAATATATTTCTTTAAAAATCAATAAAATATATATATATATTTTTAAATATATATATTTTATTGATTTTTGTACAGAGAGGAAGGGAGAGAGATAGAGAGCTAGAAACATCAATGAGAGAGAGTCTTCGATCAGCTGCCTCTTGCACACCCCCTACTGGGGATATGCCCGCAACCAAGATACATGCCCTTGACCGGAATTGAACCCGGGACCCTTCAGTCCCCAAGCCGACGCTCTATCCATTGAGCCAAACCAGTCCCAGCAATAAAATATATTTTTAAAAAAATGATGGAGGGATCTGGTGCGAGCCACGCATGGGTGTTTAGGCTGAGGGCCTCTTAATGAAAACGGACAGGAGCAGAACAGTGCTGACTTCCCTGCTGCTGGTGGAACTGGATCTATTGTTTTCTCTAGGTTGTGTGCCGAGGGCAGTGGAGGAGGAGGTGGAGGTGGAGGTTTGGGCCCGGCCTGCGTGGCTCCCTGAGCATTAACCTATGAACCAGGAGGTCACAGGTTCGCTTCCTCGTCAGGGCACATTGGCTGGGCTCCATCCCCAGGGAGGGGCGTGCAGGAGGCAGCCGATCCATGATTCTCTCTCATCATTGATGTTTCTGTCTCTCCCTCCCTCTCCCTTCCTCTCTGAAGTCAATAAAAATATTTATTTATTTATTTTTTTAAAGAGAGAGAGGTAGCCGAAACCGGTTTGGCTCAGTGGATAGGGCCTCAGCCTGTGGACTCAAGGGTCCGGGGTTCGATTCCGGTCAAGGGCATGAACCTTGGTTGCAGGCACATCCCCAGTAGGGGGCGTGCAGGAGGCAGCTGATTGATGTTTCTCTCTCATTAATGTTTCTGACTCTTTGTCCCTCTCTCTTTCTCTCTGTAAAAAATCAATATAATATATTTTTTAAAAAGAGAGAGAGAGAGAGGGGCAGAGCGTGGGGAAAAACGGAGCTCTATGATAGATCCTTATAGTCCAGTCTGTACCTGTGAGACAATAAAGCAGGAACTGGGAGGGGAAGGGAGAGTAGAGCTGGGAGTCCTATCTGATACGTTCACTACTTATGAGTCCGACCCAGACTTCAAGAATGAAATGGGTAATGGGGGGGGGGGGGGGGTGTGTCTAAGGCATGCCCTCTGCCCTGGGGCGGGTACAGGACCATAGCCAGGGGCTGTGTCTGGAGAGCAAGCCGGCCAAAGGGCAGCCTCAGCCGGGGGAGGAGTGGCTGCGCGCCAGAGGGAGGAGAGGGCGCTGGGCCCGGAGCTGCTGACATGGCTGGTCCTCTGGCCGGGCTGCCGGGCTGTGGGTGAGAGGGGAGCGGGGTGAAAGGGCCAGGGGAGGCCCCTGGGAAGGGTCCGCTTTCTGGCAGCAGCTTCAAGGACACGGTTACCTTCTACCCCCATCTGTCTGCCAGCCCCCGCCGTGCCCACCACACACACACCACCACACAGGCACAGGGACTTCGCCATCTGTGCACAGCGAGCCCCAGAACCAGGCAAGGCACTCAGATGCTCACCCCTGAATGCATTTCTTTTTTTAAAATATTTTTTACAGAGAGGATAGAGGGGTAGAGAGTTAGAAACATCGATGAGAGAGAATCATCGACCAGCTGCCTCCTGCACACCCCCTACTGGGGATGTGCCCGCAACCAGGGTACATGCCCTTGACCGGAATCGAACCTGGGACCTTTCGGTCCGCAGGCCGACGCTCTATCCGCTGAGCCACACCGGTTTCGGTCCTGAATGCATTTCTCGGGCAATGGGTTCAGTGGGGAAGGTGCTGGCTGTACATTTATCAGGAGCGTCTTGCTTTCTGAGTCACTCCTGAATGTGGAGGCTCGGAGGTGGGGGTGCGAGTTAAACAGGTGCACGGGGAGGGTGGTACCAGCACACACACACGTTCTGGCGCTTCCCAAGTTCTAGAAGGGGCGCACTCCCCAGTGCTCTAACCTGGCGAGGACAGAAGTACTGCCGTGAGCCCGGCCGGTGTGGCTCAGTGGTTGAGCACTGACCTATGAACTAGGGAGGTCATGGTTCGATTCCCCGTCAGGGCACATGACCGGCTTGGGGACTCGATCCCCAGGGAGGGGCACTTCTCTCTCTCATCACTGAGATGTCTTTCTGTCTCCCTCTCCCGTCGTCTCTGAAATCAATATTAAAAAAAATATTTGGAAAAGGAAAAGACACAGTACCACCACGACACCACTGTAACGTGCCTCCGGGAGAAGCAAAACCCCACCTTCGGGGCGGACAGAGGACCCCGCCCGGGTAGCACCCGGATGAGAGCATCGTCGAACCTCTGGTGACTCAGGTGCTCACGTCTAAGTCCCTCGTCACCGTCCTCCTCTGTGGGGGTTCCAGGCCAGAGCCCACGCCGCCAGCTCACTGCACAGACTCCGCTGAAGGTCTCAGGATCACCTTCCTTTAAACGCTTCAGCCGAGATCGGTGTGGCTCAGTGGATAGAGCATCGGCCCGCAGACGGAAAGGTTTCAGATTCGATTCCGGTCAAGGGCATGTGCCTTGGTTGCGGGCACATCCCCAATTGGGGGGGGGGGGTGTGTGTGTGTGTGCAGGAGGCAGCTGGTCGATGTTTCTCTCATCATTGATGTTTCTAGCTCTCTATCCCTCTGCCTTCCTCTCTGTAAAAAAATCAATAAATTAAAAAATAATAATAATATAAACAAATAAATTCTTTGCCATGCCTACAAAACACTCACAGACAGAGTCAGTTTTGTCTAGAAATTTAATTGGACATATTTAATCTGTTACAGCAAAGGATCTGAACAAAGTATCAAGAGTGATTTAACCCTTTTATGTGCCCTGATCTAGCAGCTTTCACTTCTCTGAAAATCCCCACAAGGTTTCTTCTTGAATTCTGAATCTTGATGGCTTTAAAAATAAAGAGCCAATGCCGAAACCGGTGTGGCTCAGTGGATAGAGCATCGGCCTACGGACCGAAAGGTCCCAGGTTCGATTCCGGTCAAGGGCAAGTACCTTGGTTGGGGGCACATCCCCAGTAGGGTGTGTGCAAGAGGCAGCTGATCGATGTTTCTCTCTCGTCGATGTTCCTAACTCTCTATCCCTCTCTGTAAAAAAATCAATAAAATATAGTTTTAAAAAATAAAGAGTCAAGAACCGGAGCCTGCTTCGAAGAAGCTCAATCACAAGCTTAGCTCTGCGATCACAAAAAAAACCCGACACCAAGATGGGAAGTAGGAACACGCATTAAGCGGCCTCTCCTTCACCAAAGCTATGGCTCCGTCTTCCTCCCAGCCCCCTCACATACGGAGCGTGACCGATCACAGAAAACGGCAACCCTCCGACATTTAGAGTCCTTGTGACACTTCATTGCATCAACTCATGTGGAAATGTCCAAACTGTCAGATGGCTCTCAATAAAACAATCTTGCTGACAAGTCTGAATACACAGGGAGCCCCCCGAAAAATGTAACTGCACGGCAACAGCTCAATTTTGAGAATAAGTTGAATTTCAATAAACACTGCCTTTGTAATTATTCAAAGTGTGTGTATACATTTCGGGGGGGGGGGGGGAGAGAACACCCTATGGTTTGAATTTTTGGAGAAAATAGAAACCACTGACCAACACCGATTCTCAGAAAGGCTTCTTGCACCGGATTCCGAGTCTTCCACGGCCCTCCACCCAGACGGCAGCGAGCTGTCATGGAGGCGATGCAATGAGTAATGCTGGGTCCCGGTTACGGCTCTCACGCTCGGGCCTGGGTGGCCTTGGACTGGCAGGCAGAGGAGTGAGGTTCTGGATGGCTTTCTTTAAACCCCGTGTCCGCCTGTGTCACAGGCTACCTCGGGGTGGCCTCCCACGTTCTTTTCGCCTCAAGTTCTCTCTAAGTGCTTGGTCACTGCGCTACCTCGGACACAACTGATACCGTGGAGGTGCCTGATGCCTTTCTGATCCCACTTCCGGAAAGGAGGCCAGGGGTGCGGTGGTCAGGGGGAGCGGTTCCGAGGCTGTAAGCCCAGCTCCCCGCATCTCGCCTGGGCTGTATGGAGAAAGAGGCCTCTGCTGATCTGAGAGCTGTGAGTCAAGCAGTGAGGCGGCACAGCCCAAACATTACTGCGTGTTAGCACTCCCTTATTAGCTTGGACCTTTAGAAGTTTCTTTTCTCCCCATGTTTGTTCATTCAGCGAACACAAGCTCCTACTGTGTGCAGGAGAGAGGCCCGGTGAATGTCAGACGAAGGGAAAATACTCAGGAACTCAGAAGTCATCGCAGCACTCCAAAGAAAAACAAAAAAAACAAACATGTACATCCTCATGCGCCCCCTCCTCCATCCTTGACCCGCCCCCTGCTCGCGCTGCAGGCCGCCGAGTGCTCATGGTCCGTGCCGATTGCAAACGTCCATCCCCCGCCCCGGGAGGTGCCCGTCCTCAGCCCGGAGCGGCCTCAGTGGATCTTCAGCTTCAGCTGGGGCCAGGCCACGGTGATGATCCCAGCCACGGACGACACGAGCCCCCCGAGGCCGATGACGCCGGGGTTGGACTTATAGATGCCCAGCTGGTCCAGCGGGTTCAGGATGTCACAGAGGTTCTTCACCGTGTCCAGGAGCAACGGGGGATGCCTCCGCAGCGACCGGAACAGGAGCAGGAGGAAGGCCTGGAGCCATTCCGTCCCCTCGTCGGCCACGCTGTGCCCCAGGGGATCCCGGGAGAGCGCCTCGTCCCTCCGGGCCTTGTCCCGCGCGGCCCGCTCCATCTGCAGCGAGATCTCGTACAGGTCCCTGGCCAGGCTCAGCAGGAGCGAGCAGCAGTAGTGGCGGGCGGCCCACGTCCGCCATTTCTCCTTGTTGATGCTGGAGCTGAGCCCGACGCTCCTCGCCCACAGGACGGTGTCGCAGACGAAGTAGACCACGCGGTTCAGGTTGGCGAGGGTCAGGCACAGCCGGGGCACCAGGGCCGTGGCGTGGATGCTCTGCTGAGTGGCCTGCACGGCGTGGACCACGTTGCCCAGCCTGAACCCTGCAAGAACCCACGGCAGCAAACGGTTATTTAAATGTGCCGGGGAGAGGCCAGCACCGGTCCTCGGCCACACTGTCACGGAGGCCTGTCCTTAACAGCAGGTCTCGGGCACCTGACATGATCCCAGCCCTGGCTGGTGTGGCTCAGTGGACAGAGCGTCAGCCTGCGGACCCAAGGGCTGGGTTTGATTCCGGTCAGGGGCGTGTTACCTCGGTTGTAGGCTCCTCCCCGGCCCAGGCCCTGGTCGGGGTTCATGCAGGAGGCAGCCAATCCATGTGTCTCTCTCACATCGATGTTTCTCTCTGACTCTCCCTCTCTCTTCCACTCTCCCTAAAAAAATCAATGGAAAAATATCCTCGGGTGAGGATTAACACAAATGGACAAACAGATAAGATGACTCCGGAAGGCACAGTCGGTGGCTCCGGGACTTTCCTGCCTCCATTACAATACCGGGCACTCAAGGTCAGGCCGAGTGTGCACTGTCCATCTGCCCGGGACCAGACTCTATGCAGCATTCTTCCGGAGAGTCTAGTGCCCTGCATTTTATTTACTTTCCACGCAAAAGATTGCTTTGAAAACAACACCGTTATCAATTTGCCATTTCTCTGGTCCAACCCCCTTCAGCTCCTACTGTCGAGACAAAGTAAATAACCGGCTCGGTGGTTGAGCGTTGACCTTTGAACCAGGAGGTCACAGATCAGGGCATATGTCCAAGTTGCTGACTTGATCCCCAGTAGGGGGCGTGCAGGAGGCAGCTGATCAATGATTCTCTTTCATCATTGATGCTTCTATCTCTCCTCCTTTCCTCTCTGAATTAATAAAAATATATTAAAAAAAAAGAAATTTATAGGGTCAGGATTAGGGTAAGAAAAATAAAAATAAAAAATAAATATAAAAAAAGAAATTTAAAAAAGAAGTGAAAATGGTAGGATTTAGTGTATAGGAAAACTAGTAAGTAATATTGTCATATATGACTCCTAGTGAATTAAATCAACCACTGCAAGATATGCTTTTATCTGAGCCTGTAATTAATTCCATTAGTCAGGGACTTAATCAATCAAATATTTATGCATCAGTCAAATACTCAGTATGTATTCCTGTCCTAAACACTATGGTAACAAAGAAGTACTTTTTGCCGAAACTGGTTTGGCTCAGTGGATAGAGCATTGGCTTGCAGACTGAAAGGTCCCAGGTTCGATTCCGGTCAAGGGCATGTACCTTGGTTTCGGGCACATCCCCAGTGGGAGGTGTGCAGGAGGCAGCTGATGGATGTATCTCTATCATCGATGTTTCTAACTCTCTTCCTCTCTAAAAAGTTAATAAAATATATATATTTTTAAAAAGAAGTACTTTCCTTAAAGAACTGTATCTTAGACTCAGCAAATGCTCCGAAGTAGCTTCCCCCAGGAAACTTAGAATCTCCGAAGAATGTTCAGTATCATCTTATCAAAGGGAACGCAGGACACAGAACTCAACGGATAATCCCGGGTTCCATTCCGCCTCTTGCACTAATGACTGAGTGACCTTGGGCAAGTCATTTCTGGACCTCAGAGACGGGTGACCTGCCAAGGGCCTCTGAGCCCCAACACCCTGAAGAACCTGAGAACGTCCATCTTGCTCTCCCGAACCACCCCGAAAAGCTCACCCTGCCCTTCCCTTCCCTCTTGAACGACGTTCAGTCTTCTCTTGTCAAACCAGTTTTCTCGCTGATCCTCCAACACAACTGTTTGCTCTTAAGAGTCTGAGTCCTCCCTGGAGTTAACCACCTCCAAGACGCTCTCCTTCCTCCTCTTGCTAGCCACGCCCCCAGCCCACTGCCTCAGGCCGCCTTCCCCGAACTCCCCCACCGCCTCTGGCACCAAATCTAATAGCATTATCACACCACGTGCTCTCCGTGCTCCCACAGAGCTGGGGGGCCCTGCCTCCGGGAGGTCGGCTCTCACAAATAATTGCACAACAGCTGATTTCCACATTTCCTCTGGGTCCCTGCTCACCTGCCGCGGCCACTCCTGGCTCTCCCCAGAAGGCCAGGCGTCGGCCACAGGGCTGTTACCTGAAAGACAGGTTCCCCACTACGCCTTACTGGCCGAGTGAGCTAAGTGAGCGTGAGACACCTGACTTCACTGTTTGCCTTTGACGTGAAACCATGCCAAAGTTGGTCTGAGAGAATGTATCCGCCCCTGGCTGGTTTGGCTCAGTGGTTTGGCTCAGTGGACAGAGCGTCGGCCTGTGGACTGGAGGGTCCCAGGTTCGATTCTGGTCAAGGACACATGCCCAGGTTGTGGGCTCGGTCCTCAGGAGGCGGCGGGAAGGAGGCAGCCAATCGATGATTCTCTCTCATCATCGATGTTTCTCTCTTTCTCTCTCCCTCTCCCTTCCTCTCTGAAATCAATATATGTATGTATATAAAACGACTCTGTCCATTTCCTCCAGCAATCCCTCAAGAGAAGAGGCGAGAGGCAGGGGGTCCAGGATGCAGCTATTCTGTTCTTCCAGAGAATACAAGGGGCTCTAGGAGGCCAAGCTCATGTCCAAACATGTGGTGATTCTAAGAACCAAAGGTGAATCAGCCCTAGCTGGTTTGGCTCAGTGGATAGGCCTGTGGACTGATGGGTTCTGGGTTCGAGTCCGGTCAAGAGCACATGCCTGGGTTGTGGGCTCCATCCCCCTCACCAGCAGGGGGTGTGCAGGAGGCAGGTTCTCTCTTATCACTGATGTGTGTCTCTTTCTCTCACTCTCTCTCTCTCTTCCTCTCTTAAATCAATAAAAATATATTTGAAAAATGAATAAATACAGGTGAGCTAACACAGTGTGCGCCCCACGGGTTGTGGCTGACCGGGAAGATGTGGAGGAGCACCAACTGGGAGCACTGCACGTGTCTGTGAATGGTTCAAGGAGCAAAACGGTCCCCTTGTGGGGCCTTGTCATTCCGTGAGGGCGGACCGACTGGCTGGCTTCATCAGCCAGCCTGACGAGAAAGGAACGTTCTAGAAAGTGTTTTGGGGATTACGGAGCCCGAGGGTCCACACCAGGGCCCGCCGGCCCTTGAGAACAAACAGGGTACTTACATTTGCGGCCAGTGCTCACACTAGACTCCAGTTTCTTGAGCTTCATTACCACCTTCTCTTTGTCAGCTTTGGGCTCTAACAAATACCTAAGCAACATGCATGTGTACTGAGTGGCTCTGAAACGGAGAAATAAAAAACGAAAATGAAAAAATGAGGCGGAGGATTGACAAACCAAATAAAACCGGATCCATGAAGTAAGGGAGGAGGAACAGGCAAGGCTTCCAAGACCATTTCCCATGCAAGCGGCTCTCCCCAGAGCAGGATTCTGCAACAGGCACTGCACGGGGCCAAAGGGGAGAATGCAATGATGGAAATGCGACTCAAAGGTGATCAGGAGATCTCGCAATGATGCAGAGAGCAGCCTGGCCGAGGGCCTTCTGTTGGCACAGTGTCAATCGCACAGAAACCTCCCCTGTGCTAAGTCTGCAAAGACCCTACGGTCTTTATTTTCTCAAGTTCACTGCATATTTCTAAAGTGAACTTTTTGCCACAGAGTTAACCAAGCACTTATGTGGCAGGAGTGGCTCGAACTAGAAGCCAATAAAAAGTCTAGCTGAAACCGGTTTGGCTCAGTGGATAGAGCACATGTGTCAAACACAAGGCCCGCGGGCCAAATCTGTCCCGCCAGGCCTTGCAATGTGGCCCGCACCGCGCTGTCATCACTGCACTCCACTGCGTTTCCATCACAATGACAGTTTATGACTGTTCAGTAAACCATTCGGCCCGCGATTTAGGCTGGATTTTAGATTTTGGCCCCTTCCCTGATTGAGTTCGACACCCCTAGGATAGAGCATCGGCCTACAGACTGAGAGGTCCCAGGTTTGATTCCGGACAAGGGCATGGACCTTGGTTGTGGGCACATCCCCATTAGGGGGTGTGCAAGAGGCAGCTGATCAATGATTCTCTCTCACCGATGTTTCTGGCTCTCTTTCCTTCTCTCTTCCTCTCTGTATATTTAAAAAAAAAAAAAGTCTACAGTGTGACCATCGTTTGATGTTTTTTATGATTAGCATATACACACCCATGCATAACTAAGTGTAGATATGTCTTTCCAAACTAATTCGTATTGTATAGAAAATACAGCCAGACCCGTTTAAAAATACCAAATGTTCAATGAAGTGATGATTGCCATGCCTGCAAATAACAATGCCTTACTCACAGAAATAAAGCAAATGAGCCATTTTATGCCCCATAGTGGAACATCTGAATGCACGTGGCAGTCTATTTATGAAGTAGGTGCCTGTTTCCCCGCTGTCCTGCAACTGTATTTGCGTTCCTTTGTGCTGTAAATATTACTCTACCTCTGGTCTAATAATTAAAGCTATGTGAGACAAATTAACCAGAGAAAATAATCTAACTTAATTGCATGTGTTTCCATGGGAACTCCACGTACATGAACGGTTCAGACACAGAAAGGGAAACTGAGGTAAGGATGAGGAAAGGCGCCTTGGGGCTCAAGGGAAGGAGGTGATTCAAAGGACAGTAAGATGCACGGACGTGCAATAATTAGAAGTTTGCTCTGCCCTACAGGTATGTCATAAAAGTTACTTCCGGTGACAACTCTTATTATGGACAAGGCCCCTAATTTAAATTCTTCTAGGTAGTTAAGGGGGTGGGGCAGACATTTTTCTTGAGCCTGAGGGGGGGTCTCGGTTGCCTTTAGCTCAAAATAATCCACGTATCACAGAGGAACATCTTGGGGTGACTCATTCTGAACCCCTACACTCTCAAATTACAATGTCACACGTTGCCTTAGCCAGTTTGGCTCAGTGGATAGTGTCTGCCGGTGGACTGAAGGGTCTCGGATTTGATACTGGTCAGGGCACATGCCTGGGTTTTGGGCTTGATCCCCAGTAGGGGGTGTGCAGCAGGCAGCTGATCAATGATTCTCTCATTATTGATGTCTTTCCCTCTCCTTTCCTCTCTGGAATCAATAAAAATATATTTAAAAAATAAAAATAAAATGTAGCACGTTTTCCAAAGTGATGAAATCTCTCTCTCTCTCACACACACACACGCCCCTTAGTATGCTTTATGGTTAGAGGGCTCAAGCTGTTCACATTCTCAGATTTGGTCAAATAACAGGAATGCGTCCAAAAACAAGGCATTTTTTTATGAATGCCAGTTTGTTCTTAGAAGCTGGAGTTAACCAAGAGGATTGGGAAATGAATCTGAGAGATTTCAGGCCTTGCTGAGTAAGTACATCCTAAGCAATTATTTCATTAGCCGGCCTCACGGATGACCCTCTGGGGGTACAGTCTCAGCCCGACCCACCCTGGAAAATAAGTCTCCTTACGGGGGCCATGCTCACTGGCCTGTTTGTGTCACTACTTTACACCCGAAAGACGAAAAGCTGTTCAATCAAACTGCAACCGTAATAGTTTGTGTGTGTGTGTGTGTGTGTTTTTTAAATAAATATGCAGCCCCAACCGGTGTGGCTCAGTGGATAGAGCATCGGCCTGCGGACTGAAGGGTCCCAGGTACAATTCCGGTCAAAGGCATGTGCATTGGTTGCGAGCACATCCCCAGTGGGGGGCGTGCAAGAGGCAGCTGATCGATGATTCTCTCTCATCGATGTTTCTCTCTATCCCTTTCTCTTCCTCTGTAAAAAATCAATAAAAATATATTTTTTAAAAAATAAAACAAATAAATAAGTAAATAAAATAAAAGCATCAGAGCTCATTGGTACGGAAACCACGGCGAGCGCCTCCGAGGGGCGGGGGCGGCGCGTTCGGGGGGGCGGGGGGGAGCCCCCCCCCCCCCCCGTTCCCACCCGGAAGGTGGAGAAGGTAACAACCCACGTTCCCGTCTCTCCATGTGCCTTTGTGCGCGGTGTGAGGCCCCCCCCAAGGGCTCGGATCCTTGGACACAAAAGTCACCCCAAAGTTTCTTTAAAAAATCAGTGCTCGGAGAACCGTGTCCCCGGGCTGGGAGAAGGGGGCGCGCCGCCCGCCCAGCGTGACAGGCGCGGGTTCGCGGCCCGCCCCGCCGGGTTCGGGGTGACAGGCCAGACCCCAGCGCCCCCAGAGCCGGCGGCCTGACCCCCTTCCCGGGGTGCGGGTCCGAGAGGAGGCAAGGGGGGCGGAGGCGGCGGCACCTGCCTCACCTGAAGAGCCGGTCGCGGCCCTGGGTCTGGTTGGTGAAGCGGGTGAAGGCTTCCATGGCGCCTGCCGCCGGCCACACGGAGCCCGGCCGGGCCGCGAGTCCTCGGGGCGCCGCGGGTCCCCCGGGAGGCCGGCCTCGGACGCCGGAGGGGCAGTCTCTCTCCGCCAGCGGGGCCGGCGGGCGGCGCCAAGTGCGACTTTCTCGGACTTCCGGTCTGGACCGGAAGTTGTGGTTGCCAAGGCGACGCCCAAGCCGCCGGCCAGGTGAGCGGAAACGCCCGCTTCCGCTCTGCCAGGCAAGCGCTTCCCACGCGCTCTGGGGCTCCGTTCACACCCCGATCGCCTCGAGGGGCTCCGAGGGGCCCGTCTCCTGGTCTCGGGCAATTCCCGGGCCCCCAGGAACCCCAGGTAGGACCCGAATGAAGGTTCCCCTGAGCTTCCGCTAAACATTCCCTGACCTGATCTGTGCCTCGGGGTCCCCGGAGCAGCATCAATCAGCTCCAGCTCTGCCGGAGCTCAGGGTGCGAGCAGAGATCAGCTGATCGGAGGAGTGTATTCCTAGCAGGAGGGCCGGGCCCAGTGGGAGAATTTTCTGTTAGGATTCCTGAATGAAGAGTGCTACTGGAGGAAATCCTAAAATGGTTACCACGAACGAAGTGGGGGCAAAACTAGATGACAATGAAATTGCACCCATGGACGGTCCCCCTGTGGGGCTTGAAGACACGGAAACCCATCCATAACTTAGCAATTTTTAATTTTTTTTTTAAAAAAATATATATTTTATTGATTTTCCACAGAGAGAAAGGGAGAGGGATAGAGAGCTAGAAACATCAATGAGAGAGAAACATCGATCAGCTGCCTCCTGCACACCCCTACGGGAATGTGCCCGCAACCAATATGCCCTTGACCGGAATCGAACCCGGGACCCTTCAGTCTGCAGGCCAACGCTCTATCCGCTGTCGGACTACATATATTTTGATTGATTTCAGAGGGGAAGGAAGAGAGAGAGAGAGAGACATATCAAGGATGAGAGAGAATCATGGATCGGCTGCCTCCTGCACGCCCCCTACTGGGGATCGAGCCCACAACCCGGGCACGTGCGCTTGCCGGGACCCTTCAGTCCGCAGGCCGATGCTCTATCCACTGAGCCACACCGGCGAGGTCTGAACATCCCTCTTTTCTCTGACGTCTTTCTTCCCGTCCTCAGTCAGCACCTCGGTGTCCGAGCCGCTCCCAGCGCCGCCTCCTCCCGCGATGTCGTCCCCGGAGGGAAGCCGCGCCCAGAAGATGAAGCTGCCTCTGTTCACGCAGAAGGGGCAGCAGGAGGTGCCCACGCCTTCGGAGAAGGACTGGTCCAAGGACGACCAGGAGGGCTACGTCTTCCGGGACCCGCTGCAGGCGCTGGCCGCCCTGCCTCAGCCGTACCGGATGATCAACAAGCTGGTGAACCTGCTGTTCGACCGCGCGTGGGAGATCATCGAGGAGAGGGACCTGCGGAGGGAGATGGAGCACAGCCGGATCCGGCCCACCGTCTACCCTCCGGTTTCAGAAAGCAAGGTACGGGGTGGGGAAACGCTGCCGAAACCGGTGTGGCTCAGTGGATAGAGCATCAGCCTGCGGACTGAAAGGTCCCGGGTTCGATTCCGGTCCAGGGCATGTACCTTAGTTGCAGGCACATCCCCAGTAGGGGGCGTGCAAGAGGCAGCTGATCAATGACTCTCTCTCATTGATGTTTCTATCTCCCTCTCTGTAAAAAAAATCAATAAAATATATTAATAAATAAATAAATAAAAGGTATGGGGAAGCTGCTCGGTTTGATTCCCGGTCGGGGCACCTGCCGGGGTTCATGGGCTTGATCAAGAGAGGCAGGAGGTAGCTGGTCCCTGATTCTCTCTCATCATTGATGTTTCTCTCTCTCTCTCTCTCTCTCTTACTCTCTCTCTCTCCCTCTCTATATCCTATATAATAAAGAGCTAATGTGCTAATTAGATGGAACAGCAGAAGGACCACCCGAACCACCTCCAGGACAAAGCCAGGGCTGCGAGGGCCTACCCTTTGCATAAATTTCGTGCACTGGGCCTCTAGTAAATAATAAAGAACACCTCATCCCGGAAAGATTTCCTACCAGGAACCTTCGTTCAATAAGACAGCTGCACTTTTTTTTTAAAGATTCTACTGGCCGGTTTGGGCCTGTAGACTCAAGGGTCCCAGGTTCGATTCCGGTCAGAGAGGCATGTACCTTGGTTGCGGGCACATCCCCTAAAAGTGGAGTGCTATGAACTTCCTTTTATTTTCCTTTATTTATTTATTTATTATTATTTTTTTTTGTTAATCATCACCCGAAGATTATTTTTTCTATTGATTTTTAGGGAGAGTGGAAGAGGGAAGGAAAGACAGAGAGAAACATCCATGTGAGAGAAACACATCGATTGGTTGCCTCCTGCCCTGGCCCTGACTAGGGCCCAGGCTGGGGAGGATCCTGTAACCAAGATACGTGCCCTTGACCGGAATCGGACCCTTTGGTCTGCAGGCCGATGCTCTATCCACTGAGCCACACCGGCCAGGGCAGCTATGACTTCTTGCTATGTGAGCAAAATATGGACAGGAGCCCTGTGTTTGGGGATGATATTCCATTTAGGAAGGGCCTAGATCCCTCTTTGAAATGTCAACGTAGGTTGCTTGCAGAAAGTGACAGCTGAAAAAAATCATCCTTTTTCTTTTCTTTTCTTTTCCTTTTTCTTTCTTTCTCTTTGTTCTTTGTTTTCTCAGCTCAGCAAAAGGCCACGATGCTTAGCGGTTTCCCAAGACTATGTGTTTGTTGCGGCAGCCAAGGGCTTCTCCATCTACAATCTGCTAGACGCCAGGCAGATCTACGTTTATGAGAAATTCAAGGTTGAGGTCATGTCCATCTGGGCCACGGACTTGGGGAACGAAACGCTTATGGCTCCTGTGGATGAAACGGGTACTTGTCCTTCATCTTCCTTTTTATTTTATTTTATACATTTTATTGATTTTTTACATAGAGAGGGGAGAGGGATAGAGAGCTAGAAACATCGATGAGAGAGAAACATCGACCAGCTGCCTCCTGCACACCTCCTACTGGGGATGTGCCCCCAACCAAGGTACATGCCCTTGACCGGAATCAAACCTGGACCTTTTAGTCCGCAGACCGACGCTCTACCACTGAGCCACACCGGTTTCGGCCTTCATCTCCCTTTAGCCTCATTCATGTGCACCTGTGGACCCAGCATGTCAAACTCAAAGGCTAACACGGGCCTGATAAACAAGGTTTAAGTGTATGTGGCCGCAAAAAAAAAAAAACCAAAAAAACCAAAAGCTTCCATTTTCATAAAAACAGAAGTTTATTTCAAAAAGTAGAGTATTAAAAAATAATAACAATAATAATAACAGACCCTGGCTGGTTTGGTTCAGTGGATAAAGCGTTGGCCTGTGGACTGAAGGGTCCCGGGTTCGATCCTGGCCAAGGGCACCTGCCTGGACTGTGGGCTCGATCACTGATGTTTCTCTCTCTCCCTCTTCTTTCCTCTCCGTAAAAAATAAATAAAATATATATTTAAAAAATATATATATATATATATATTCAAAACAAAACAAAACACACCCACAGGGCACGGGTGGATAGTCACGTGAGGCAGAATGGCATGAGGACTAACACAGCGGACAGGAGTCAAGGAGAGGGGGCCGGAGGGCGCATGGGAGGCCCTAGGGGAGGAGGACGGGGCCGGCCGGGGTGGGCAGGCGCCGGTGGCGGAAGGCGGGGAGACCCAGGCCCTCGCAGGGGTGGAGGGAGGGAGGAGGCCCCAGCGTGCGCGAGCTGCGGATGCCAATCTTAGGAAGTTCGAGAGAAAGTTACAGGTTTCTTCTGCCTGACATACCCCGTTTTCCCCTTCCAGGTGTCGTTAGGCTGTTTTATCTTTGCAAGGAGGGTCTTTTCTTCATCAAAACCATCAACGAGGTGGTAAGTTCCCATTCTGGGCCTCACACGGTAGCAAATCAAGTTCACTTTGAAGATGGGGGTGGGGGGGAGGACGGGGCCCTGGCCGAGGAGCTCAGTGGGTTAGAGCCGCGGTCGGCAAACTGAGGATCGTGAGCCACGTGCGGCTCTTTGGCCCCTTGAGCGTGGCTCTTCCACAGAATACCCCGGCCTGGGCGAGTCTGTGTTGAGGAAGTGGCGTTAGAAGAAGTTTAAGTTTCAAACAATGTGCCTCTCCGAAGAAATGTCAATCACTCTACTGTTTTTTGTTTTTAAAAAATATATATTTTATTGATTTTTTTACAGAGAGGAAGGGAGAGGGATAGAGAGCTAGAAACATCGATGAGAGAAACACTGATCAGCTGCCTCCTGCATGCCCCCTACTGGGGATGTGCCCGCAACCAAGGTACATGCCCTCCTTGACCGGAATCGAACCTGGGACCTTTCAGTCTGCAGGCCGATGCTCTATCCAATGAGCCAAACCGGTTTTGGCTCAATCATTGTACTGTTGATATTTGGCTCTGTGGACGAATGTGTTTGCGACCACTGGGTTAGAGCATCGGGCGATACACCAAGGTTGAGGGTGCGATTCCCGATCAGGGCACATACAAGGATCAACCAAATAAATAAGTGGAACAAAAGCGGTGTTGGGCTCTCCTTTCCTCTCTCTCTCTCTTTCTCTCTCTCAAATAAAAAAAAAATCAATCAATAAAAATTTTAGAATTGTATTAAGGCCTAGCCGGGTTGCTCAGTGGTTAGAGCACCGGCCTGTAGAATGAAGGGTCACAGGTTTGATTCCAGTCAAGGCCTCACATCTCGGTTGCCGGCTCCGTCCCTGGCTTCGGCGGTGGCATGTGCCACGGACAGACTGGGAAACGTATCTGAGATATAAAGTTGAGCCGATCGCTCATCAGTCGCATTCCTAAGCTTTGACCCGAGAGAAATGAAAACACGTGTCCGCAGAAAGGGCCCTGGCTTCGGAGGGTTTCTGTGGACGCGGGTAGGGACATGCCAGGCCCCCATAGGTGTCCTCTCTGTCGGTGGGCTGCTGGCTCTAGCAGCCTCTCTCTCTCTCTCTCTCTCTCTCTCTCTCTCTCTCTCTCTCTCTCTCTCTCTCTCTCTCTCTCTCTCTCCGTTTCAGG